CCGCCCTCACAGGAGGCTCCCGGGGCTGCGGGGAGGGGCTCAGCCAGGCGCCAAGGGCGGGCGAGGCCTTCCAGACCCTCTACCTTACTCTCCCTTTTTTCCCCCGGTACCGGCGGCGGGATGCCGGAGGAGCCTCGGAACCCCGCATCGCATCCCCAGGCTGCACAGAAGCCGCGTACGCCGGCAGCGTGGGGTGAAGGCCGCTGGATCCGGCCTCGCGTAGCCCTCACGGCGCGCTGGACCCGCCATCCCAATAGTGGAGGTGGGCGCCTGCCTTACTTCCACAAAGGCAGACACCCGCCCTGTTCTGCGTGAGGTCATCCCCCAGAGCCCTCCTGGCAGTGTCTGTAGTTCAGCTGCAGGAAACAAGCTGAAAGGCAGCACAAGGAGGTTTCCTGCTACTTGTCTCTTGCGGTCAGCATTTCTGTATTTCAGAGAAAGGATGTGTAACAAAAGCGGCTACCAACACCGTAAGAAAAAATATCTTTGTTATTATGAATACATCATAAAATCACAATCATTTTATACACATTTTAGTATTTCATATACTTATATAAATAAAGTGAACAGTATCGTTATTGGAATGTGTAATAGGAACAAACATACGGATTTTAATGTGAAATTAACAAATTCTTGGACCCCACCTGCATCTTTTGTTGCTTCTCTGGGGCTTAGCGTTTTAACTCTGAAATACTTCTAGGAAGAAGGTTACTCAAGCTGCGATACCAACAGTAACGCCAGGGATTACCTTAATTCCATTTGCAATCAATTTACCTCCCCTTTTCCTCGTTGAGCCTGACTACATAGGAATTCTTCTGTGTCAGTATTCCAGCTTTGCAAGAAAGACTAATCCTGTATGTTCTTGGCACAGTGTTGAAAGAAAACATTTTCCAAGCTTTACAATTTTGTTAAACCCATTAACAATCAGCATTTTGCCATCACTACACACTCTTGCAAATGTTTCCATTAAATATATTTCTAATATTAATAAAATAACTCTTTATTATCCTGCTTATAACTTGATGTCTTAACATCAAAATAGTATTTCTTTCTAATAAAATTATACATAATATTTATATGAAACAAAGTTGTCATGTGCATGCGCCTAGTAATGAGACTAGGCATGAGCGTAGATGTTTCTACATTCTTATTTTGGATTCCTGGGGGGCTGTTATTTTGGGGGCCACAGAGTAATAAATAATTTACAAGGTAATGACTTCCCTGGCTCCCTGGTAACCAAGCTTAAAATTGGAAATGATTCCTCTGGTCTGGCTTTATAAAACTTTGGGCATGCTGAAGAAAATGTCACTTTTCTGAGTGTCTGCGTGTGTTCACCCAGAAATCTTAATGAAACGTTTCTTATACAATGTGTTATGAAAGTTATCATATAATTAATCAGAAATAAAATGAGAAAGGTCTATGCAAAGGTCTTAGCAGCACGCAGACGGAAGGCTGGAACTTCCCAGCCAGCTGTGCTCAGAGGGGCCCTCCCTGCTGGAGGAATTCCTGGAGTGGACTTGTCTTTACCATCAGGTCCCCTCCCTGCTGCTGGGACTCAGCCAACAGCTTTGGGGCAGGGAGTCTGGAAAGAGGAGGGTGAAGCACAAGGGCAAACCCGAGGAGCACTTTCCTTCACCTTCTTCATGGAGTAAGCACGTCTGTTGGAAAACCCAGCTGTGGGCTGTGAAAACCAATGATGCAGACTCCAGAAAGGGAAGTTATTGAGGTTTTCATTCAGAAAGGCACGTAAACATGTGCCGTATTTTATGTTCATGAGTCTGCAGGACAGCTTTCTGTACTTACAGTGAGGCATGTATTTTATCTAATTTTTTGGTCCAGTCTCAGACTTTCCCTTCCCTGGATACGTATGCACAGCAGGACAATTGTCACCTACCCCTGAATTTGATGGTCAAACTGTAGGAACTTCTCATTTGGTATTTGTCTATATTTGGAAAAGCAAAGCTTAGAACTAAAGTAAGTGCCTTTTTTAGAACACATCATCTTGTGGGCAGGGGGCAATAAAATTTAGGTGGTATGTAGGAAGTCACTCATCTAACTCATTATTCAGTATCTGATGGTAAAAAAAACCTGCAGCTACTAATTCTATAGTGGGAATCAACCTGATCCAGCAGGTGATGGGGTGTGGTGGTAAACATATGCAAGAGTTACATAATTTGCAAGAGTTACAAATACAACATTTGACATTTAACACATTTACTTAAAGTTGCATATTCACGAACGATGTCATTTATACCCAGTTGCCCGCCTGAAATAAAGACAGACAGACATACATGCCTCAGTTCATGCTGTCTTAAGAGGTTTCTTTCAGCCTGCTGCGTGTAAGACCATCCTTCTTTTGGCCACAAGTTCCTTCCCCAAGTCTCACTGATTTCCTTATTAACTGCTTCACAAGACTACTTGGATCTGGAGCTGCTGGGAGAGCTCCTCCCAGAGGAGAAGCCCAAAGACCGCAGGGTGAGAGCACTGTAATTTTTTCTAAGCTATCCCAGTGACTTAGTCATTGCTTTGTAAATATTGATATACATATAACGTGAAAAGGAATACAGAACATTAATGTTCTTAAAGCTAATGCCCTTGCTTGTGGCATAGTGATAGCGAGGAGTTGGGAAACCATTGCAAGAGTGAACACGTCCTCTTAAGACAATATACAAAAAATACGAAAGGTCTAGACAGCCAGCTGTTTATACAACATGACCTGTACCGGTGGTGTAGGGATTACACCAACTATCTTTTGGCCCAGAGAATATGGAAGGGAATACAGACCTTTACAGGTTATCTGAAAAGGGCCTGCTTATATTTTTACCTGTATTTATTCTATTAGAACATGCAAGCCCTGAAAAACATGGCAAAATAAGAAGTTTTTCTTTGCATTTGTAACATGGACATGACCCAGCACTAAACATACTGTAGAAGTAGCAGCTACACAGATACAACATTGAAGCTTTGTGCTTAATATACTCCTTTATCTTCTAAGCATGGCAAAGTCCTCAGCAGCTGTGATAATCCAAAAGAAATGGTAACATACATCACCCATGAGGTATGGTCTAGCTTGTGCATCCAATTTCCAGTGTAAAAAAAGGGCACTCCCTTTCATCCCTCTTCACACATATAGGATCCCCTGTGCAGTACCTCACCTTAGCCATCCTCGTACCAGTTGAAACGTTTTGTCACGTGCATGCCTGCACCTACTCATACTCTTCATATCCCAGCCAAATAGACTGCAACTCTGTGTTCCAGTTCCATGAATGCCATTTAGGTCGCTCTCATGCAGCAGAGGAACAAAAGAGATGGAAGCTCTTTGCAAACATGAGGCCTCTCTCTGGTCTCGATTTCACTCGGACTTCAGCATTTCACCAAGGAAGACATGCACCTACAGGAGGTCAGAATCCAACTCTTTCTGCAAGGCTGGGATTGATTTTGTGCTTGCCAATAAGCCTATTGATGCTTGGTTTTCCTGCTTTATACATCCCCTGTTCTCTCGCTTATCTTTGTGTAATGTATCCAGCATGAATCTGTTGAAGAAGGGAACTGGCCTTCACACTGAGCACTGGGAGAATGGTAAGGGAAAAGTAGTGTTAATTTAGGACAAACACATCTTTTCGACTCTCTTTGAACGATACTCTAGCAACACAAAGCTAAATAATTTCCAGATCAACAAGCAGCGCCCTTGTATCAGTGCTTCACCATATGTTTTTGCCTTTTTCTGCCATGGTGCAGCATAATACAAGAAGACATTTCACCTACAGCTGGCCTCTGCTGTGAAACAGGGATCCACCTGTCACACTCTCCTATGCCTGGGGACAGTAGCTGGAGACTTGAGTTCAGTGGTGTAATACATTTACATGTAACTGTGGACCAAGTTTTTCATTACTGATGTCATTCAGGGATGATGTTCAGCTACCCCTCTACCCCTGGCAAAATTTGGGTACTGGGTCATTTGGACATAGAACGCAAGGTAGGCAGATGAAACGCTGTGGTCTGCGCCATTAGCTAGACCATGCCTTAATCATATTATATACTAAGAAGGTTTTCTTGATAGTCTAGGTACAATGCACAGTGCAGGCTTGACGGTATGGAATTACTGCAAGGAGGCTATCATGCACCAGGAAAGCTACAGTACAGGCAGCATCGTTGGGGAAAAGCAGAGAGAAAACTGGGAAATAATATATATATATATATATATACTTTACATTGTCAGTGCATTTTTATATTGAACAACTCTAAAGGGGCTCTATTTTTCAGTAGGTGTAGCTAAGGGTGGGCTGCCTTCTGTATCCTGGAGTCTCTGGGTGATGCCCGTGGTTTGTAGTCTTCCCCAGATCCAAAATCTACTGTGTCATGATAGTTTGTAAATTCCTGAGGTAATGGAAACTCCTCTGTTGATGAATGAGTCCTGTGTCCAAACACTCTCTCTTGCAGCTCAGCGATGTCGTTTCTGATGTCTGCCATCATCAGCAATAGGAAATCAAATGAACCTGGTGGGCCCTGCAGTCACAAGGCACGATCATTAATAATAATAATCCGCTTCACTCTTACAGTTTTCAAACAGGTTGATATAATTACTCATGCAGGGGTAACTCAGTAAAATACTGCTTCATATCAATTGCCAAAAGTTAATGGTCTCTTTTTGAATCAACCTGCTCAGGAAACAATTTTCAAAAGAAGGCAAATGTTTTTGCAGACAGACCCTATCTTTACAAGATGCTCAGCCCTTTTGTTACCTAACAATTCCTTTGCTGTATTTGCCTCCTAAGAGTATCTTGACACCTCATGGGAATAGAGGAGATAAATCTTGGTTCCCTGTGTTCCTTCTTATTAAACTGATAGAAATTACATTCTTAGAATGACTAATAAATCAATAATTATTATTTATTTAAAAAATTTTCTCAAGAATACTGATATTTTGGAAGCTATCTTTTCAATATGGTAACCCTGCTGCTGCCCATCACTTACTAAATATATTGGTTATTACAATGCAGAGAGTATCGATCTGGTTTTATCTGATTTTACAAAACCATAATTTCTTTAAAGCTGACTTCACACAGTAAAGTACACTGTTTAATACTGAGGACACCCGACTGGACACACTCTTAAAAATCCATTCCACCAATGAGAAAACACCATAAGAAATAAATTTTTAAACAACTTCACCTGAAAACAGATTTTAAATACTCATCCTTCTCCTGATGACTTGCTCAAAGCCTACAGCTTCCCAAATCCCAGAGAGAGATGAGGGGCGGGATTTTAAAAGGTTCCAGTGATCCAACTCCCCTTAGGAACGGTGGCTGAACGGTACTAAC